CCGGACCCCCCCTGGGACACACATAGTCACCCCTGACACACACTGACCCCCCCGGGACACACATAGTCACCCCTGACACACACTGACCCCCGACTCCACTGTCCCACTGACCCCCTGGGACACACATAGTCACCCCTGACACACACTGACCCCCCCGGGACACACATAGTCACCCCTGACACACACTGACCCCTGACTCCACTGTCCCACTGACCCCCCCAGGACACACACACTGGACCCCCAGGACACACACACACACACACACTGGACCCCCCCCGGGACACACACACACTGGACCCCCCGACTCCACTGTCCCCCTGACGGCAGCACCTGACACAGGCCCGCGCTCTCACCCCCGGCCAGCATGGCGGTCAGGACGATGCCGCAGGCCCAGACGTCCCCGGGCTGCGCGTGGAAGTCCGCCCGCGAGAGCAGCTCGGGAGCCACGTAGGGCAGCGTCCCGCACAGCCGGGACAGAAGCCGCTCCCGCCCGCGGTGCCGGAACATGGTGGCCAGGCCGAGGTCGGAGATCTTCAGCTGGTCTGGGGCCAAGAGGACGGAGGAAACCATCTCAGTGTCACCAAAACGCCCCGCGTCCACTCACAGCCTTCAAATCAGGCTGTACACTGCCCAGCAGGAGCCACACCAGAGGCTGGACGCCTCTCGGGGACAGGCCGGGGACAGGGGGGGATTAGGGGGTCGGTACACTGTCAGGACCCAGCCCAGCTCTCACCTCTGTCGTCCAGCAGCAGGTTCTCCGGCTTGATGTCCCGGTGAGTGATTCCTATTCCATGGAGGTACTCCTGTGGAGCGCACACACACACACACACACAGTTATCCCAGCGCACTGGAGTCCACGAGCCACAGTGACGCCTCCCTCTCCGCCCCGCGGCCCCCGAGACGCACCTCCCTCTTCAACCTGCGGCCCCCGAGACACTCAAGCACGGCCCCCATCGCTGCAAGGACTGCTGGGATCGCTGTGATCGCTCAGCACGCCTCTCACGCTGGCTCGGCACACAAGAGCCGCTGACCCCCCCACCCAAACGAAGGCAAAAGGAAGAAGGGGGACCCCCGGACCAGACAGCCCAGCCGGGGACACCCCACCAGCGCGGCGCTGAAGGACAGACTCACCACGCCGGCAACCAGCTGCTGGAAGAACCTGTGCGCATCTCTCTCCGGCATCCCCACGTCCGGCTCTGAGGGAGGGAGGGAGAGGAGGGTGAGGAGAGTGAGGAGGGAGAGGAGAGTGAGGAGAGTGAGGAGGGAGAGGAGAGTGAGGAGAGTGAGGAGAGTGAGGAGAGTGAGGAGAGTGAGGAGGGAGAGGAGGGAGAGGAGGGTGAGGAGGGTGAGGAGCAGGAGGGGCGCCTCACCGATGCGGTCGAAGAGCTCGCCGCCGCTGCAGTACTCCAGGAAGATGTAGTGCGTGTCCCCCTCACGCCGGTGGCCGTAGAAGCGCACGATGTTGCGGTGGCTGAGCATCTTGTGGATGCAGATCTCCTTCTTGACGTTGTCCGCACAGTCGGCCGCCCGCGAGGTGTCCACCACCTTCACCGCCACCGCCTCCTCCGTCTGCCTGTTCACCAGCAGACGCACCCTGGCGGCCAGAGAGCACACGGGTGACCAGTCGCCCCGCTGAGCCCGAGACGAGCCCCCCTCCCCCCGCCAGCTGCTCCTGCAGCCCAGGCCAGTCGGAGATCAGGAGAAGCACGCACAACACACACTGGACAGCACACACTGGACAGCACTGCCTCCGGCACGCACGCACAACACACACTGGACAGCAC